GTTTTCATTTTAAATTAACTTTTCTTTTTTTAGCTGCTATTCGACAAATTATGAATGAAACCAAAGAAGTCCATTGCAGTAATGGTGAGTCCCGATTAACGTGTTTTGGTGGCATAATCAATAGTGATGCACAGCCCTACTTGGAGTAAATCACCGTTTTATCATATTTGGGTACTTTTATACTGTATTGTATTTTAAGAAAATTTTTAGAAGTTTCTCATTGAGTTGATATCTACCATTTTTGCATAAGAAGAAGATTTTTAATTTTCTAGTTTTGAACATGAAATGTTATGTCTATGTGTTTAAGGCCAGCGAGTTTCAAACTCATTTTGAGGGCTCCTCAGGGTGCTAAGGCTTTGCCTTGGAGGCTGCTCAAGTGGATAAGCTGGGCTTATCTGCCTTATACATCCATTTTAGGGCTCACAGCCCTAAAATCACAAGGATTCCCTTTCTGCCAGATTGTTGACATAAGGGATAGTATTTGAGTTGAATTTTCTTTATAACAATTGGGAGTTTCAAATCTGATTTTCAGTTTATTTTCTCAAAGTTCATGAATTTTTTACTAATGTATAATCAAGAAAAATAGCCCAACTAGAACAGTAATACATTTCAAGTATATAGATTTTAGAATTAAAAAAAAAATTTCTTTACTCTGGTCAGTATTATTCCAGTGGCCTTGCGAACATATAATTCTAGAGAATCTGATTTTTCCAAGATCACAGGGCTATGAAATAGCTGCGCTGGATCACGAAACTGGATATTCCAATTCTTTGTCTAAAGCTTATAAATTATCTTAATACTTTATAATAATATGATGGAAAAATAAGGGTTCTACTTGGCAGGTTTGATTTTTGGCCATGTATGTATGTGTATGTGTGTGTGTGTATATATATATATATATATATATGATACACTTAGAAAATTTAGCCTTTCACAAGAAATCTATTCCAGTAAAACATAAAAGCTGGCAAAAATAAAATTTATCGACTAAGGTTTAACTTACTATCAATAAAAGTCTTCCAGTTTAAAAAAATCCAACTTGTATCTTCTAAAATGCAATTAAATTCATTCATTATGTTTTAAGAGTCATCATTAAAATCAGGATAGACTGAGAGGTTACACAATAATGTGGTTTAATAGAATCAACAAGTACATCCAATGAAAGAAAAAAATAGCATTTAAAATAAAGTATTACTGATTGGGGGAAAATATCATTAGGACTTAGCCATCTCCTTGCCTGCACTTTCCATCCAGTCTTTTCCTCCTAGAAAAATACGTGCAGCACAGGGAGCCCCGTGCCTGGGCTACAGAGGGAGGGGCAGGGGCGAGATGAGAACACACATTTGTCCTGTGTGGGCTCCGCGGTGGAAGCCGCTTCACCTCTTTGGTCTCCTGTTCTGTGATGTATAAAATGAAACAACCATATGGGCATAATCTCACTTTTATTCCGTTCCCAGTTAACCGGCTGTAGAGGATGGGAACATGTTAGATAAGCTCTTGGGCTAGTTCCTATTTTTGTGTAGATAAAAAACTAGTCCTGCCTGGGTCTGCATAATTAACCTGCCCGCTTTCAGGGCATGATCCAAGATTTTAAAAAAATTACTCGATGACGCCTTCAAACAGGTGGGATTAGCCTTCAGCGTCAAGGCATTTCTCGTGTTTAATACGAGGTACGAATACCCCTCGAGAGGGCAATAAAACTCTGCGGTTAAGAGAATCCATTAAAAGCCACCAAAGCTTCCAACAGCTTTCCCAGATGCACTTCCCAGGTAGGTCGAGCAGCCTGCTACCGCCCGGCCCACGTGGGCCTCTTCGCGGGCCTGAGGCGGCTGGGCCCGGCAGGTGGGTGCTGGGCCCCGGAGGTGGGTGCTGAGCCTCGGCAGGTGGATGCTGGGCCCTGGCAGGTGGGTGCTGGGCCCCAGGAGGTGGGTGCTGGGCCCCAGCAGGTGGGCGCTGGGCCCTGGCAGGTGGGTGCTGGGCCCTGGAGGTGGGTGCTGGGCCTCGGCAGGTGGGCGCTGGGCCCCAGCAGGTGGGCGCTTGGCCCTGGGAGGTAGGTGCTGGGCCGGGGAGGTGGACACTAGGCCCGGCAGATGGGTCTTGGGCCCCGGGAGGTGGGCTCTGGGCCCCGGCAGATGGGTCTTGGGCCCCGGCAGGTCAGTGCTGGGCCCCGGGAAGTGGGTGCTGGGCCCCGGGAGGTGGGCGCTGGGCCCGGCAGGATGCCAGCCGGCCCAGGTGTTTGGAGGCAGCGGCCCACTGGCCTTCAGGTGGAGCTGACACCGGCCAGATGAGCTTGCAAGCAGGGGTGTAGGACCCAGCGCTTGAGCCAGAGGTGGAGAGTTTCTGATGAAAAAGGAGCACTTGCTAGAATCTCGCTTGTAAGAGTAATTACACGCTCTGCCTCGTGTGGGGCTGTGTTTCAGGGTCATGACAGGCAAGCCCCACTGGAAACTTCCACCATTAAGTCAAAGTGTAAACTGCAGGGAAATTAACTCTCAGTGACTGTTATGTAAAAATAGATCATCTCAAGTGAAAGTCCATCGTCCGTGGTTACTAGTCTGAAAAAAATAATCTACTTCGTTATTCATTTAACTGGTTTTGAATGTAAGAATGTAATGCAAGTGTTTGGACTCCCTTTCTACCCAGGAAATGGTCCTTTGTGTCTCTAGACTCCAGCCTGTTTATTTCTTTTTTAAAAGATTTTATTTATTCATGAGAGACACAGAGAGAGGCAGAGCCACAGGCAGAGGGAGAAGCAGGCTCCCTGTGAGGAGCCGGATGTGGGACTCGATCCCGGGATCCGGGATCCTGATCTGAGCCGAAGGCAGGTGCTCAACCCCTGAGCCCATCCCCCCGCCATCCTTGCAGCCAAGCAATCTGCTAGGTTCTGCGACAGGATTGAGCAGAGGATAACATTTCCTTCTCATACTCTAGGGCACTCTCTCGGGTTGGGGTGACCAGGGCAGGGAGGTGTGGGGGGGGGGTCTCAGGATGTCCTGCTGCTGTTTTTGCATATCTAAGTGTTTGGTATAATATTGGATTTCACATTCTTCACTCCACCCTACTGCCTGTAAGCTACTCTATCAATCCAATGGCAGTTTAATGACTCTCCCTATTAAGAAATTTTCCTCATTCCCTGCTGGTGCCCTTCTGTTCTGACTTCACAGAGTCACCGCCCCCATTTACCCGTTGCTTGATAGATTCACTAAATGCCACGGAAATGTTATCAATCCACCGGTGAGACATTTTCCCACCTCCTCACTGCCTTTAAACTTCTAACGGCTGAACAAAATCTTATCATCTGTGTAATGCCAACTAACGTCAACAGCTGTTATATAAGGCAAGCTCTACAAAACTTGAAAAACAGAAAATCCAGCTGAAGCCACAAATCAAATAAGACCAGAGTGCCAAGTGGAAAATCAGCCGTGATCACTAAGGCTGTTCAAAGGATTTAAAAAAAAAAAAAAAGACTTTAATCACATATGATTTTTAAACATTTATCCATGTCACAGTTATCTTTTGTTTGCCATTTTTGTTTTGTTTTGTTTTCTTGTGTTTTGACAGATGACACACAGTGTTATATCAAGCAGATCCTCACACATCCACGTTTGGAACTAAATCCTGAATTTAACCCGAAGATCAAAGATTATTACTCTGAAGTCCCATTTGATGTGGTAACAGTGACAATTGGCGCAGAGACTTCTAAGTGTCAGTGCAAGGTGTACCTGCATGATCGGGCCAGGCCCAGGTACGGGGCCGCTGACCAGGGCTGAGTGGAGACACCGTGGTGGGAAGCAGGTCTCTGAAGCAACCTTTGAAGGTTCAGAAAAGCTGAAGCATGAGATCAGTTGGAGAGATTGCCAGGGTGTGAAACCCTTCCACTTCGCAGATGTCATGTCGTAAAACACAAAACAAACAAAAAGGGGACATATCGGTGCTCTACTGATGTTGGCAATCTTTGGTTTCAAGTTTTTATTTCAATTCTCATTAGTTAACGTAGATGGTAAAATGGGCTTCAGGTGCAGAATTTAGAGATTCATCCCTCGCATATAACACCCAGAGCTCATCACAAGTGCCCTCCTCAAAACCCATCCCCCATCTAGTCCATCCCCCCTCACCTCCCTCCATCAATCCTCCGTTTCTTTTCTGTTGTTAAGAGTCTCACAGTTTGCTTCCCTCTTTCTTTTTTTCCCTTCTCTATGTTCATCTGTTTTGTTTCTTAAATTCCACATATGAGTGAGATTATATGGTATTTGTCTTTCTCTGGCTGACTTATTTCACTCAGCATAGTACCCTTTAGCTCCATCCATGTGTTGAGAATGGCAAGATTTCATGCCTTTTTATGGCTGAGTAATATTCCATTTTGTATATTATATAATATATATCATTATATAATATATATATATTTACATACGTCACATCTTCTTTATTCCTCAGTTGATAGATACTTGAGCTCTCTCCGTAGTTCGGCTTTCGTTGATAATGCTGCTATAAACATCGGGGTCCATGTACCCGTTCAAATCAATATTTTTGCATCCTTTGGGTAAATACCCAGTAGTGCAATTGTTGCATCATTTCTGACTCTTTGAGGACCCCCCACACACACTGCTCTCCACAGTGGCTGTGCCAGTTTGCATCCTCACCCACAGGGCAAGAGGGTTCCCCTTTCTCCACATCCTCGCCAACATTTGTCGTTTCCTGTGTTAATTTTAGCCCTTCTGAGGGCTGTGAGGTGGTGTCTCATTGTGGTTTTGATTTGCATTTCCCTGATGATGAGGGATGTGGAGCACCTTCCCATGTGTCTGTTGGCCATCTGGATGTCTTCTTTGGAAAAATGTCTGTTCATGTTTTCTGCCCATTTCTTAACTGGATTATTTAGTTTTGGGGTGTTGAGTTTGATGAGTTCTTTATAGATTCTGGGTACTCTGTTAGCAATCTTTGTATCTACTCTTTGTCATGGTGTTGTAACAAGAGAGGATCTTGTGATTTGAAATGTTAAAAAGAGCTTTGCGCAGTGGCAGTATCGTAGCCAGTGAGGTTTATCTGAGGTGCGATTATTGCTAATTGAAATATTAAAAAGATTCATTAGGGGTAGCTTCCTTCTACCCTATCCTAGCTCCTCAAAGTTTTGAACATTCAGGAGCTGAATAAACATTTTGGTGACAATTTATGGACATACTGACACTAACTTTCCTAGTTTCACGGGATTTTTTTTCTATTAACTCTTCTGAGAGTCACCAGAACTTTCTTTGTTTCTTTGTTTCTTGTGTTTATAATTTTGAACAGAAGATAGAACTTTGTTACACGCCATGTTGGTGGCAAGGAAGATACTCGTGTTCCCATGCTATAGGGAAGGGGAAATGCATTTGGATCCCTGGGATCCAAGAGAGTCTAGTAGGAAGAAAAGAGGATTCAAGTCAGACCAACCTAGGTCCTAGCTCTGACTCTACCATGGGACTTTGGGCATAGACTTGTTGTGAGTATTGAATGAGATAATGTATGACCCTGAGAAGTGGTTCATAAATACTAGTTTCCTTCCCAGTGATCGAGGGAGGACATGACTTGCCCTGCAAGAGAATTGCTGGCATACCAAAATACACATTTTTTCCATATTTTAAGTTTCATATGAAGTTGTACAGACCTGACCTGCTTTTGTGTACACATTATAGGCATTTAATAAACGTTGATGTTTATCATTTATTTATATGGATGTATGAATGAATGTTTCTTTCTTTCTCTTCCTCTAGCTTTGCCAACTACCCTCTGGGTTTGGGAATGAACAAAATCTCAATGCTTGTGGTGGATGAATCTCCAGCACAGGGCGAGACCCTGATCACATACAAACTCACCATCTACAGAGAAGACCGTCCAAGTCTGCCCTTGTTTGAGGACTTCACAGCATGCGGTTTTGTGCAGGTAGGTGAATTCTACATTTGCACTCGCGTTGAACTGGGAGCGGCCTGTTGACCTAGGTGAAAAATGCCAAATGCGAATTGTTAGGGAAAAAAAAAAAAGTATGCTTGCAAATCCAAACTGTGGTCTCATTTCTAAAGAGCAAAAGTCCCAGCCAGGGATGCGAGATACCTTGTTGTGAGTGGTTTTCTTTTTAGTGTGCTGGCTACCCCCCCCACTCACTGTGTTCAGTGGACGTATTGTAGTTAATATTGAAAGAAATGTCTTGAGTACTCACACTGTGTTACAAAATTGATTTTGCGTTTGATTTTACACTTCCATGTGAAATTGTGCTGTGTTTCTTGGAATTGTACCTGAATCTACTCTGAAACTTTAAACTAGGTTCAGTGGAGTTGATTTTAAAGAAGTAGAGAAAAATTTATGAAGCTATTTTGTGGACGGGACACCAGACGAAGGGAATTAAATTTGCTTGAGTAGATTGATTTTTTTTCCTGCACTTCTTGCATCTTACTCATTCCTAAAGGCCGTAGTTTGTCTCGTGAGCAACACATACCGTTTTGCAGTCTGCCGATCTTGGAGGGTGAATGTTACCCAGACGCTTTGTCCAATTTGGTGGTTCTCTCCTCTGTTTCTTCTCTCGGTTAAGATTCCAGGTACGACCTTCCACGTCTCCTCACATCATGTCCCCTCACTATAGGTGCTTCTGGGGAAGTAGTAATTGATATTATCACATCTCCTGATTCACTCAGAAAGCATAATTGCAAATATGGCACATCTCAGTGACTGACAACCTGTTGGGAGCGTTGAGGCACAGAGGACTGGTTATGATCTGTTGCGAGAGAAGGAGCTGACTGAGCCTCCGTGAGTGGGATGAATGCCATGTTTCCTTAAAGGCAGCGGCCAGAGAAGTGCTCTCTTCTCTCGCCATTATTTGTCAGAGCGTGTTTTATGCTCCTGCTAACCTGGCCTGCTCACTGCACCCCAGACCTGCTTCCCTGTCTGGATGGTGGTGACATACATAACCAGGTGGTGTAGAGATATAGAAAATACTCAGTTAACTATGTCCTTAAGATTTGTGCAACTTATTGTATATAGAATATGATATACATGCATTTTGCCATATGCAAGTTATATATACTGAATATAAATTATGCTTCAATAATATAAGAGAAAAACATTAGTGGGGAAGTATGTATTATCTCCCAAGACATGCATCTCTTCTCAAACATTACATTCATCAAAATCAAGTTAATTACCATGCAATTACCTTAGACAATGGATTATATTAGGAATTTGTTAATATAACATGAAGAAATATATTAGAAAATTCTTGTGGGATATACCCTAGAGATGATTGCAGAAAAGTATTTCAGTCATTTAGAAGAATTCTTTCCAGAAGGTTTTAATTTAAAATTGATGTGTGGTCCCCCAGCAGTACTATATTTTATAACATGGCACAGTGGCTAATAAGCACTAGTATTTTTTTTAGCCTTCCTTTTACAAACTGTCAAATGACTGAAGAGATAATGAATGAATAATAAGGACTGGTTTAGACACTTAACGAGGCACGAGTGGCCTGAGGAACTGGAGGAGTCCATAACAGAGGTTCGATTTTTCTCATCCCAGGCTCCAGTGACAGTTCTCATCCAGAGACCTTGCCCTTATTTCTTCTTTATGCTTAATCTCATTAGCGTCTTTAGGTTTCACTGCAAGCTGATCCCATCATGAAGTTCAGAATACAGAGAAGGAAAGATGTAATTTTGGAACTCCTATCAATCAGTTTCCAAATTAATAGTTAAACAGATATACATTATGAGACTCATGAATGTTTAGTCTTCCAAATTGTCATTTTCCTTTTTTATCAACAAATTTAGTGACTTACTATATTCTTAGGTTGATGTCCAGAGTCAGACCATTGCATATTAAATGGTAGACCATTCTATCTGAACCCCTAAAGTGTATATGTGGCAAACCAGAGGAAATGAATTAAACTTTAATTATATTTTATTTGCTGGTTAAAGGGAAAAATTACATTTCTTCCTTATATTTTAAATTATATTTTGTCCTATTGGACTCCATTATTAATTTTTAAACAAACCTAAAAGGAGATCTACATTAAAATACCCCCCAAAGAGTGTCCAATCTGTGGTTAATCAAGCCTCCTAATTTCTCCTTCTCCCATTCTCCCACTTTCTGGTTATCAGCTATTCATTTTATCATTTCACTGAAAGCCAACTAACAGTGAAGGGAAAGTAAATATAAGGCATACCAGTCCAAAAATCAATTACTTTGACATTTTGGTGAATAAAAAGATAATCTAATTAAGTTGTCATAGGAGTTTTGTATCATTCATATGATCAAATACTGTAAAATACCTACTTAGCCATAATTCACTATTTTAGTGTCTGTTTCTAATTATATTTCCTGTTGGATTTCATACATGGCTGCCACAGAGGCAACTCATACTTTAGCTATTACCAGTGAGGTAGAAAGGACCAATTTACATAACTGATACAAAACAACTAGATTTGGGCCAGGGCTTTTCAACCTCAGCAATGTCAATATCAGGGCTGGATAATTTTTTGTTTTGGGGAACTATCCTGTGCACCGTAGAATATTTTGCAGCCTGGCTTCTACCCAGTAGGTTCCAGAAGTATACCCTTTCCAAATTGTGACAACCAAAAATGTCTCCAGACGTTGCCAAACATCACCTGGGGGGCAAAATTGACCCCAGTTGAGAACTACTGATATATACCAATAACAGTCCTGCTTTTCTACTTTCCACTAGTAAATCTAGTAAATCTGTAGTGGATTTACTCTAAGTATGAATAGGTTAGAGGTAATCCTTCCATGCTGAAAGTTGAAGAATCACTCGTCTCTTATCTCATCCTTGTATTTTTAATCATTTATGTAGTCAGCAAATACCACTATGATAGCTCTTTATGCTTCTCATTAATTTGCCATCTTTTCTAATGTATTATAATCAGAAATATGCATTCAATTATAGAAAACATGATTCTTAATGAAACATAAAAAGTCATATAACATACCTACACTGTTATTTCATTTTGATTTACCTATAAACAGCATAATGTTTTGCTGTTAGGAAGAAAGATTTAGAAAGCAATAAACTGTTATTATGGCTGGAATATGTCATGCTTCGGAATCAATAAAATATATTTATGTTCTAAGGAAATTAAAACACATATGGGGAGATATTTCTTTTAATATCTCTTTCCAAATCAAAAAGTTTTGACAAGGATAACAATATAGCATCCATGGAAATTGATTTGTGTAAATGATCTATGGTCTCATATATATACATTTTGCCCCCAAAGCGTTGTGCCAGAATAAGGCCATAAATAAAATCTACAGAAAGGTCATATAGCAGAAGCGTAGGAGACTACATTTCAGGGATCCGTTTGTTAGAAACGGCCTTCATTTTAAAATAAATTACAATTAATAAAGGAAAAGTACTGAGGAAAGAAAAAAAAAATCTGTTTTTAAAAAAAAAGTCTTGCCCAGCATTTAGTTATCGATTTAAAACTGACATTTGCTGTCTTATTAAAAAAATTAATTAGTGATCTATATGCTGAGCTATTAAATGACTCCAATTACAGCATTTGGAAATGCATTACAATTCTTCCACTTATTTTTGTACTGTTTCTCAACACAAAGGTTACAAAACAATTCATGTGATAATTGTCTAATATTTTAGCAAACACAATAAAAGGAGAGCATTTATTGATGACAAAAAAGCCCCTTTGTCCATTTCCAACGTCGTAATGTCTATTAAATACTCATTTTTGTCATTTTCAGTTACCTTGCCTACCCCAGTACACCCGAAGTATGTGATTCAATTTTTCAACAATAGAGCCTGTGTTGTAATGAAAGCCTCCCAACCAATGACTGCGTATTAATTATCTGCTATGCACTTTGCTCTTACAAATATGTCATATATTATGGGAGATACTGTGCAACATCAGGAGAACTTTCATTACGTGCCAGATATGATGCTAAGCACTTTACTTTTTTATCTTATTTGATGTTCTTCACAACTTTAAACACTGGTGATAACTGTCCCAACCTTTAACTTATGGAGGACGTAAGGCTTTAAAACATGTGTAATTAAGTAGTGAAGGTGGTATTTGAATACGAGTCTGACAGACCTCAAATTGACCCCCTTTATCATTACTCTGGACTATAGAATCCAAAACTCTTACTACACTCATAAT